TAAAACACTGCACAGCAACTTTACAGCACACAGCTCATACATCATCTGGAAGAGCTAGCAAAGCATAAGGGGCTTATTTGTGCAATAATGCAGGACCAGCCTAATAATTAGTGCCCCTGTTTTTGGTAAACGGACTAATGATTGTTACATGCGCCTTGGGACTCATTGTTTGAGTTCGCACTCTATTAGCTCTTGAGCGCTGCTCGTGCCATGCTGACAGGAGAGGCCCAGCTCTAATCCCACACTAGAAAATCCGCCGAAGACATCTCGGCACTCTTGAGTGAGCAATTCCACCACGTGTCACAGTTAGGCAACACCCTGCTTTTGTTCATGTTTCTTTAGCCTTTTATTTTCTTGCTGTGCTTTAGCTTTCATTATGATTTGAGCTAGAAATCTTGGCCGCATCAAAAGCTGCACACAAACCGGTATTTCAAATCGCATCGCAGTCCCTCAAGTATAAAGATCCAGGGAGCTGATAAAGGAACAGAGTGATTAGGCTTTTCAGATCTCTTATAAATATGTCAAAGAAAAGAGTGACAAAAATGAGTAAAACAAGATGGGAGGGGGGGAAAGGTTCTTTGGGCTTAAAAAGTCAGAGAAGTAAGATCAAATGCATCTGATGCTGCCAAAATTACCTTAAAGATCGGGGACTGCAAGCAAAGCTAAAACCAGTGCTTCCCAGCTGACTGGCAGCTGAAAGTTTGACAGACTGCAATGGGCCAATTAGCAAAAGCAAACACAGAGACACATTTCAAATAACTTCTGTCAGCTTCTTCCTCTTAATCCTTAACTAAATAAGTAGGAATAACAAGCTTTAATTTGAAAGCAATAAAAAAGTCCCAGTTCCATCGTTGTGTTATGTGCAGTAACACATAACTCATGAATACCTGCTGCCAGCAGTGTTTAAGGTTTACCTTCAACAGTGCTTGTGAAGGAGTCATTATGAGGAGAGGACTCAAGCTAATGAGGAAATCTTTTTTCAGCTTTAACACATTCTCTTCTTCTACCAGACAAAAAACGGTCATACGACCAACAAACACAAAGGTGTGAACACAGCGGAGCAGTAAATTTCAAGGAAATACGATGAAGAATGAAAAACATCTGCAGTTAGTTTGGCTTTGCAGTACAGGATTTTAAGTTAAACTTGAGTGGAATTAAAACTGCCAATTCAGTTGCAGGAAAGGGCAAATATTCTGGGCTTTATTTAATGTCCTCTTCATAATCCAACATGACAATAAAATTGATGTATTGGTCATAAGTCAGAGGGGGCAAATACACAACGTCATTATAAGACAGCTGTAGTCGCTTCATGCTGCGCTTTGTGACATACAGTTAGTGCTGTGCCGACTTTCCCACAGAACATTACAAGATATTCTGCGTATTAAGTGGAAGCTAATGAAATGCATGAAAACTGGAAGCAGGAGACAGTTCATCACCCATATGGCTGTGAAGGTTTGGAACAATCAACACAGCCATGCTGAGAACTGCCTGGCGTCTCCTGAACACTGCCTGCAGGCTATATGTGCAGAACAGCCACCTCTGCCTCCTCATTATATATGTTCTTAAATGTATCATTTTTTCTACCGTGTCAAATGAGGACAGTGAGGTATAAACTGAGACTTTCACCATGATCTCTAATAATAATAATAATAATAATAATAATATTTCATTAAAGACATGTTTGCGAAGTGCAACTCCCCAAAACTTTATTTTTCTTAAAGTCAACTTAAAGTTTACTTAAAACTTTAAGTTCCACCCTGAACTGAAAGCACTGGAGCCCTTTCTTTAGAGGGAGCAAAGTTACTGGGGCAACTGGCTGACCGGGGGTCTCCTGCTTGTCAAGTGTTTGTTCTTGGCTCGTTAAAGAGCTGTGATCGTCCTATCAACCTGTTAGAGCTTGGAGTCCACTTGAAAAATGTAAAATAGAAACAATAATCAGAACCACAGCGCAGAAACTGGACACACCAAAACCAACAACTCAGAATATACTGAAGAATAAAGAAACCACAGGTGTAATTATCAATTAGCCAAGACCGCATCGGCCAAGAAAAACATCTGCTGCTGATGACAGAAAGATAAGCAGAGCTGCCCAGGTAAAACCCTGAAACTGTCAGTGACACCAACAGCAGCCTCCAGAGTGTAGGAGGTACCAAACTCCACCGCCTGCTGAGGACCGAGACAGCAGACTTACAGGCTGCAAGATGCAAGCCTCTCATCAGCTCCAAGAACAGAAACGCCAGATCTGAATTTGCTTGGGCAAGCCAAGATGAGCCGGGAGAGTTTCACAAAAATGAAAGATGAGAAGGTTAAATTGCAGAGAAAAAAAACTGCAAATGCTAAAAAAACACCACTTTGTTTTCATACATATTAGGAGGCACTTAACCAGGCAGAATGACAATGACCCAGAATATCACGTGCCAAAGCACCCAAGGAGATTGGCATGAGAAAAAAGTGGAAAATCTTACATTAAACACAGTTAATCATGAGTTAACCATGCTGAATAAACAAGTGAAGTCAGAATCCCTCAAAAACAGGTAAGAACACAAAATGACTACAGCATAGCATTTCAAATGATTACACAGAGAGATGAGCACAATAGATCACAGGTATCCTGCAATTATTGTCTCAAAGGGAGATGCAGACAAATAATGACTTTTGCATTTTGAAATTGACTTGTAAATACGGATCAATACTTATGCTCACTTGAAATCACAGGCTGGAACACAAAGTATTTTTTGTTCTAATCAGATGTATGGACGGAATAAAATAATACAATTTCTATGTAGATGATTTGTTCTGGGTGCTTCACCATAAGAAATCTCTTTACTGTCAACATGGGGTAAAGTAAAGTAAACTCAAGTACTGTTAAAGTGGTGTCTATTTCTTGTGTGAGTAAAAAGCTGGAATGTACCACACCAAAGCACCAGAGGATGTCAAAACTCTTCTTTGATTATGCTCATAAAATACAAAATCACTTAAAACTGAAAAATACCAACAAATAAGGAATTTTAATATCAAATGGTGAATCAGATTGAAGAATATTTTTTCTTTATAATAAGGTATCTGCAAAGTGCTTTACACAGAAAGCAAATGCTGAGATGGATTGTTTTAAATTCAACTGAATTAAGAAATGCATTGTTAAAAGGCACCTGAAGACAGAGCAGGGGGGCTCGTCAGTAATGTAAGGAGTGTATTCCACCGATTAACACTTCAGAAGAAGGCCATATCGCCCAGACTGCAGCATCTTGTCACAGGGGGACATAGCGGGTCTTCATTTAAGAAGTGTGGAACCGTTCAGATGCAGCACAACAGCTCAGCAGATCCTTAAGGTAGGAAGACCCCTGAATATTTCGGGTTTTGTAAGTCAGGAGGAGTATTTCCAAGTTAGATAGCAAGAGACAAAACATAGAGGCTTAAACATAAGTGGTGTTCACGTGGGGACTTGGATCTGGTCGAGATTGTAGCAGCTCTGTTTTGAACATGCTGAAGTCCATCAACAGTGTGCTTAGAAGCACCACCAAGCAGTGAATTTCAGTGATCCAATCTAGAGAAAATGAAGGCGTGGCCCACAATATTATGCAGGTCAAAGACGAACACACCTGTAATATGTCTGGCATGACAGTTAATGACACACTGATTAACATGTTTCCCTATATATCAAGATGCCAATCAACATATAGATGTTATGATTTATCACAGAAAGCTCTACGCCTGTTCACTTTCTTGAGACTGAGCTTCTAGAGTCTAGTATTTCAATAGTCTTTGTATCGTTGTTTGGTCTATCATGTAATATTACTCACATTTTATTCCACATTATGTATTTTGTACTGATAATTCTTTTTTTTGACTGCAAACACTCTGGAAAATTAATATCAATAATATAATCAAACTAATCAAAAGACTAATACATACATGTGTATGGGAATATTGCCTTGAAGTAAAAACTTAACCACAAAGGATTGATAGCTGAAAATAAAAAGGAAGACGTTACTATCACTCTTTCATAAATTGATGGATGAAAAGAAAAGCAGATAAACTGAGAGTAGTAAATGAAATTATAATAAAGAATGACGGTTTGATCCAAACTCCAGTTCTTCCAGTATGGAACTATTAGCACATAGTGTATATTCCAGGCGGGGAGCTGCGTCAGCATTCGTAGGTTGCAAAGGAACAAGTAATAGGTTTATTCCATGCTGAAAAAAGAAGAAAGAAAACACAACGTTTCGGGCGTGGAGACATCTTCAGGTGTCACACCTGAATTAACATGTTCACACCTGAGGAAGGCTCCACGGACGAAACGTTGTGTTTTATTTCTTCTTTTTTTCAGCATGGAATAAATCTATTACTTGTTCCATAGTGTATATTGATACCTACTACTGATGAAGTGCACTTAGTCAAGCTTTGCCTTTATTGACATCGTGAAAAACGATTTTTTGTCTTTAAAACGATGCAGTTGCTCTCACACTTATGTTTAAAACCAAACGTAAAAGCAGAGCTAAGGTATATTATGATGTTAAGGCGAAATAATGAAGTCAAAGCGCAGGAAACTCCCACCACAAACTACCTTAACTAGTGGTGACTAATAGAAATGGTAAATTGATGCCGTCGTTTCGTTAAACTCCATTTTTTAATTGAAACTCTTTCCTTCGCAAGACGCGATCAAATAAACGTGTTAAAACGAGGGTTACGTTTTTCCGTGTCTGAATTCCTGTTGTGTTTAACATCAACCTGTGTGTGATGTTAAACACGAAAGCCACATACATCATAATTTCATTTTTAACATCTTATTTTTTGTTTATTTCTTCTTCATTGATGTTTAAAATAACAAAAGGGGGATGTATTTTTCAGTTTGTCATCTGGGCTTCACCTAGTTAAAAACGATACAATATGAGCATAATCAGCCCATCTCTTTCAACTAATTGGACACTAGAGTTTATTCTGTCTTGGTCTTGTTAACCAACAGTAAAAAAAAAAAAAAACACGACCTTAAAAAACTTTACCTTTTTTTCACAATCCTTTCCAGCACTGAACGACACTTTCGCCACTTTAAAGTTTTGAATGAAACCCGAGAGCCTGTTCATGCTCGTCCTCACGGGCAGCGCCATCTTGGGGTAAACAAGGAAGGTCAAGCCCACCCGGCCTCTCGCAGGAACTACGGCAACACAGGTGGGCCACTGTCAGCGCAGATTTAAAACGCCGATGTGAAATATACTGGATGTATCTTTTTACACCAGGAAAAAGGTGGAGGTTAAAATGAAATTATGAAACAATTTGAAAATAAAAAATATACTAGAATCCAGAGTTTCCAGATGATGATTTAGGTTACTTGCAACATCTCAGAGGAAAGGCAGCGTTTGTTTCCATTGTTAAATTACTCTGTAACAGCTAAAGTCTGCCGCCTTAACTTCTTCTATGGGACTATCAGAGAACTGTCTCTTGGCAGGACAGGGGGAATAAAATATGCTATCCTCTCATTTTCGATTTATCATGTGTTTTTATTCTTCGTTCGTGTTTAACTCTCCGTTTTTCTCAAGTTTCATAAAAAAAATCGAGATTGCATTTTCTTTCTGGGACCAGAATTAAGTAATTAATTACTTCCAAATGGTTTAGCAGTAGTCTCCCGCCGAAGTAAAATGTATTCGTTTTAAAAACAAATGGTATTTTAATTTGTTTTGCATTGCTCAAGTTCAGTCGTAACAACTCGGAAAGAGTCTTCCCTGCCAGAGCACCACATTCAGGCTCGGGCAGTGTTCTCTTATAACACTCTACTGATCTCTCGAATGGGAATCTGGAAGATCAGAACAGCACTAGACTGACAGCCTTCATCTTGAAATAATAAAGCAGCCATTTCCCACAGTCATTGAAGGGCTTTGGAAGACTGTATTTCTGTTTGTTTTGTTTCCCTTGACAGTCCAAAGATGTGCTAGTACTGTAGGTTACTTCGGGTTTTTTACACATAATATAGGATTTAGGTCCATCCAGGGTGCAACCTGCCCTGTGCCTGTGGCTCACATCCCCATGACATAAACGATAAGGCAGTTAGAAAATGAATGGATGTTTTCAATCTTTGTGAAGGCCACGGTTTTTTATTTGTATGTAAACTGTTAGTAGCGTGAATCACATAACGAACAGCTTTTAAAGCATTTGTGAAAAAATGACAGGCAGTGAAGTAACGGGTACCCCTCCCCATTCAGATTCCTTGCATTTGTTGGTGAAATACATGTACTGTATCGTGAAAGTTGGTTATAGACAAAGACATTCTGATCTCAGAAATAATTAATTTAGTTTGCATGAAGCTAAAAATGGCTTCTCAATACCGGTTCTTTGGGGGTACAGTATGTAATTTCCATCCACAGTGAATCAGGTCTGGCTCATACTCAGCTAATCCCCTGATGCATTTCAGTGATATCACATTCTGAATTGCTGGTTCAGACACACACTTTTCCATGACACCACAGCACTGGGTTGGTGAGCCTTTGTAGACAGTCTACTGAGTTAATGAGTGAAAGCACAGAGCTCTTCAAGTCGCTTCTGCTGGATTTGGGTCTTCTGGTTAAAAGGAGGCTTTCTTTTAAAGAGTGGTTACTGTCTGTCACTTTGCCTCTCCCTTCCACGAAGAGCAGCATCAATGAATATGCAGAAATGTATGTTGTCTTACAGATGTTGGAGTGCCAATCCCCTATACCCCCCCCAACATCTGCTCATGATTTCTCTCTGTTGCATCTGGTTGCATTTGTGCAAATATCACTCCCTATTCATTATTATTTCCTGGGGCAGAAAGCCCTAACACATAACCCTCTTAATATTCTCTCACGTCTGCTCGGGCCACTCTAGCGTGTTCTGATTAGAGCTCTGTCTCTATCCCCCTCTTCGAATCCCGAGCTTCTGGCCTCTGCTTCCTGGCCACCCACATCTAAGCTGTGCGTCTTCGCCCTTCTCTCAATTTCAAGGAATTTCCTCCCTTCATATTCAAAGCGTGTCAGATATTTTTGTTCATCTCCTCTAAGTGGTAGGTTTAACCACCTCCTTATGTTTCTTGTCAGCTAGCTGTGCTAAGACCCCTTTCTGTATTTTAAAGTAGTTCCTGTCGAAAGAGTCTGTGTAATGCTATACTGTACTATTACCTGTACAGTCTCTTACACTATCAGTCAATAGCTGTAAACTGTGTTATCCCACACCAGTACTAGGGCATGATATGGTATCTGATACGGTTTCAATGCCAAATCAGGCATTAGCCAATGGAGTCTTGTGTGGCTTCAGATGAACAGATCCCATGTAATTTTGACACATACAGGTTTTTTCAAGCTGTCTCATATTCTATCCAAAGCAGCAGAGTCAAAATTTAGCCTCAAATTATAATGTCATTGATGGCAGACACACTCGGAGGCATTTGAATTGGAAGAACAGAGGGAAAGCCAAAGAACTTCCCACAGAACAGCCAGATGCCTCAGAATAATGATGATGATAACAATATGTGAGAAATGTGACTGTGTGTCCTTACCAACCTTTTTTTTTGTGGATCTGCTAACTTCATCCTCTTAATTTGTTTTGTCCTCACTTCAGCCTGGAGTTCATCTTCTTCGCTTGTCTATACTTTATATTTTAAACAAGGAGAATGTCCTCCCTCCCCGTGCCTCCACCCTGATTCAACACCGTTGTGTTCAGGACTTCATTCATCAGTCCATCCGCCTCTCAGGTGAGACATCTTCTGACAAGATTCTCACTTTCTCAAAGATGACTTCCACAAAGAGCACAGGGCACACTAAAGAAAAAGAAATCACAACGTGTGGAAAATAAAAATAACATTTACAGATGGGTTAACACTGGTACACTTAAATACTTCCTCACCACAGTTATTGAACCCATTTCTCTACATTGTTCCCCTTTGCAACACTAACTTGCTACTACCCTTGTACACTTCATGACAGTTATCTAAGTAAAATGGTTTGTAGGCTATTTTGTTCTTGTGCTCCTTGTAGTTTAAAATGGCAATTAATACTGTAAATGAATTAGAAACAAGACCAGACCTCCACGCTGCTTTCAAATGCAGCTTGAAGAAGCAAATTCACTTCTCAGCAGCGACTGAAATTCTGCAAAAACCTAAATTCCAAAAGTTTTCCCCGAGCGGTGTTGTGGGGCCTCGAAAGGCGAGACTTTTAACATTTCCAGTCACGTCAGCGTGAATCCCCATCGCCAGAGATATTTCAACTGCTGTTTCTAACCCCATGCCTGTGCGCTGAAAGACATAACTCTCGCACTATTTGTTTTTGTGAATTGTCTGACCCGAAGGTTCAGGACATTCTGACACTGCTTTCACCAGGCACATCAGCACGGAGCAGCAGTGAATGCAGGGGGCTGTGTCTAGCTCTCAGTCCCGGCCGAGTCAACCTGCCTGAATACACTTTTCCTTCAGAGCACCTTCACTGAAAACCGCACTGTGTTATTTTAAAAGCCGGGCATGACAGCACAGATTCCGACTTGCTCTTTTTTTTTTTGTCCTGCGCAAGCAAGTTACCACCATAAAAGTATTAAATGAATACCGAAAAACTCTTCACCTCCTGTTTTCTGATGAGTAAATTCTCTTTTGCGCTGTGTTGAGAGATAAGGCACAGGGCAGAGACGCCGTGAGCAGGTATCGCGGCGAAAACACAGACCCCCTGAAAGACGTTGCAAACCCGCGTGTGTTACGAACACGCCTGCTTTACAAAAAAAAAAGTCCCCAACAGGGGAATACGAAAGTCTGGAGCCGTTGTGGATTTAAACAGGCGTGAAAACATGGAAAGGGTGAATCAATTTCAAAGCGAAAGTCCAGTCACTGCCCTCCATAAATGTCAGCCCTGTCTCAACTCTCAGCTGAGGCTCTGTGTATTGATGCGAGTCGGGGGCGGTGGGAATAGGAGAACTCCATCTTTATTTAAACCTCCACAGCTCCCACACAGACCAGCATGTTTAGGCCAAGGCCTATGACTCCCCCTCCTGTTTTGTCTAAAGCTGTGACGGTGGCACTGTCTGACCCCCAGCTGTAATAATACAGACCCCCAGGGCCACAGCCCATGTCTGGGGGGGGCGCCTGGACCACAGGGCTCAGTCTTAAGCAGCGCTGTTGAATTGGCCTGTATCCTGCCACTGAAAGACGGGTCTCCAGGCCTGACTGACGTCTGAGTGACATGACAGGTTCACACTCACCCACAGTGGAAGGAAATCAAATCACCATGAAATCGACCAGCTTTCGCTCTTCCTGGAAGACATTAAGCACGAAAAATGAAAAAAAAAAACTATATTTTTCAGTTTCAAAAATTTAATTTTGTAATGTTTTTTGTGTGTGTGTGTGTGTGTGTTTTTGAACAGCTTGCTTTGGATAGGAATAAATATTATTTAATGAAACATGATCAAATTCCATCCCACAGGCTTTCTGGAGATCTGTTGTGTAGCATCTGACAGAACCTTGTTTCATGGAGAAATTCTACAGGTCTTGGTGATAAAAACTGTAACGTTTATTTCTTAAATGAGTGTTGCACTTCTTTTTTTATTTCTCAGTATTTTGTGTGCATAAAGGTTAGGTCGTGGAATTTAAAGCAAGAGCCGCCAGCTGCTTGAGCTAGGATACAAAGTCAGACAATACAGAAAGAGAAAGGCTGAGCAACCCCATCTCCCTTTCTGTGGTAAATACAAACAGATGTTTGTTGTGCTTTTGGGGGATTGGCAACATGCTGTCACAGCTGAACGTTCGCACTACTAACTGAAAGGAATATGTTATTCTGTTGCACTTTCTCCATGTCTCGTATCTTCAAATGTAGGTTTAATTCTAATTCTGAACTGAAGAAGAGCTTCGAGTGGAGAGAAGAAATTTCATCCACAGACCATAAGTGGTAAATGCAAATTCCCAAGCAGTAGATATTTTGCCCTGAATTAAAGGTTTTTGCTTTGAGGAGATAAGATGGTGCATGAGTATTTGTCCGCAAAAGCTCGATAGCATGTTAAGCAATCAGTCATATTTAGACAAAATGATCATCTTTAAGGCACCAAACTAGACATTTCCCCTGACGTTTCTTCCTGAAAATGGGCATTCTGTAAATGCTGTCACGTATGTAAAAAGTA